GCAATCACAGCATCAAAGCAACTTTAGACCCACCAGCCACGTCAGGTTTTCTTCAAATTAATTCTTCGGGAAATCATTCATTCTCGCCCAACCGTTTACTTCGTGGTTACTATTCACAGAGTCAAATAGTCCTTACGGCTCCTGTTCAGTCCGACTGTCCCGGATGTGATGTAGGTTCTTGGACTTCTTGTCAGCAGGGTGGAAAATTAGGGGTAGCTTTTTTGTCCCATCGTGGTTTGGGTCCTTGGGGGAAGGGGAGGGAAAAGGAGGAGAGGGACGGCCAACACTTGGGGGGTTGGGGGGGGGATAGGGGGGGGGGGGGGGCGGTGTCGGAAGAATTATCCTTCTGGGTTCAGTTCCAAGTGGCGAGAAAGACACTGGAAACACGGGAGACGGCTTGGAAGGATGGTCTCGTCAGGGATGGGATTCAGCCGGTTTGGGCTGGTTCGGGCGAACTGGAAGTTAAATTTACATCTGGTTCACAGGACCGGTAGTTGTACTGACTGGCTGGCCCTGCCCCTCCCGCCCCGGCCCTCCCAGGAGTCTACGTGGCCTATTTTGGATGCAGGTAATTGCAGGGTCCCTCCTGGAAGTTCCGGAAACGGGCCTGTTTTTGGCTTTCAGGGGGCCTCTGGAGCCCGGGGGAGGCCGTTTTCATCCTCTCAGAAGCCCAAGGGAAGCCTCCGGACTCTGGGGGAGGCGAAAAATGCCCTCCCTGGAAGTTCTGGTAGGCCACACTCACCCAGCAACCAGGCAGAGAACCGGTTATTGGGGTTTTTGAGTCCCACCCAGCTGGGTTTAATGGTGAAACAGAACCACCAAGGCCATGTGATTCTGGGTAGAAGACCACACGAAGTGGAGAGAGGGTTATATTTAGACCGTGGGCTTTGAACTGGAGCTTCCTGTTCCTGTGGCAAGGGCATGTTATCCTATTAGTTGCAGCCAGACTCCCATGGGGCTATGCAGTCATAGCAGAGGCGGTCCATGTCCCAGGCTTGGTGGAACCTTGCTGGCAGTGGTGGTATTCATCTGGTTCTCACCGGTTCAGGTGAACCGGTAGCAAGGATTGGGCACGGGTTGCTGAACCGGTAGTAACTTCTGGCTAGCCGTGCCCCCAACCCAGACGCCCTGTTGCTGCTAGCTCGCTTTCCCCGTCTGCCCGATGCTCGCTCACCCCACCCGCTCGACGCTCGCCCGCCCAGCCCCTCCTTAAGGTATTTTTTTAAACTTTCCGACAATCAGCTGTTCATATGTACAGCTGCGCCGGGATCCCTGAGGCCCAGGAAGGCCCCAAAATGGAGCGTGGATGGAGTGGGTGCTGTGTGCCCCTCCCTATAGTCCATTTTTTCCCTTCCAGAGCCCCAGAGGAGACTTCTGGGAGCAAACATGCCCCCCCTGGAGGCTCCCCTGGGGCTAGAAAGGCCCCCCATAATGGGGTAGGGGGGGATGCTGCCAAAAAAGTGCCGCGCCCACCCAATCACATGGCCGTGCCTACCTAGCCACGCCCACCCAGCCACACCCACAGAACTGGTCGTAAAAAAAGTTTGAATCCCACCAATTCTGCTTGC